TTTTTGCGTTTTGCTCTTCGTTATTGGGATTCTAACACTGGACACGTTCTGGCCGACAAGGGTCCGTTTCACGAGCGTCCTTAAATCAGCAAGCTCCTTTTCGAGTTGTTCTACTTTGATTTGGATATCTGCGCACCCACCACAAGGGTCGTCTTCGTACCTCACACTTTTTGCGGTACTTACGCTTTTTGCACGCTTTGCTGGTCGTTGGCTGGAGGCGAAGGTAGGTCGAGCACAGGGTCTGGATGCGAAGGACAACTCACCGGACTTATCTTCCAAAGAGGTGCCGTCTCTGGCCGTACTACTACAGTAAGGTTGTTGAGAATCCATAAATTTCGACGTGATATAATAGGTACAATTTCGATTTCGATGTTATAACAAATACGTCGGCCTGTATATGACGAATTAAAGTGAATACTCAAAACTCAATAAGCGAAAAAATATTTAAAATCCGATAAATTTTGTTGAATTTAATCAGAAGCGACTTAGCCCTTTCCAGATTTCGTGGGACTTGAATAACTGCAGACCTTGAAGGATTTTGAGCGATTGGTTTTCTAGGCTGTATAGCCGCGATTCGGTTGCGTAGTCAGTTGGACCGTGCTGATAAACAAATTGCACTTAATCCGGGTTCCTCGCGAATTTCGATGCGTGAAAAAATATTCCAAAAATTCTCAAAGCAATTCTGCACGTATGGTTCTAGTATCAATGTCAGAGACGGTAACTGTGAAATGGTAACCAAGTCGAAATTGTCCCACTTGGAGCGCAGAATAATGGCGTTGCGCGCAGTCGGGCTCTTTGGTAAAGATTAAATTTAAAATGTGATTATTTCTTGTTGGAGAGCGCACCAGTTGGGACTAGTCAGAAAAGTTGTCAATATCTTGAATGGGCTGGAATCTGGGTGGACAGCTATTGAAAACCCAGTCTATCTCAGGAAGGTTAAAATCCCATGCGTTTATTTTAACATCGAAAGCAGCTTCCAAAATTAATTTAAATATTTCACAGAGCTGTGAATCATCACTGGTTGAAGAATTTGAGGGAAGGGCTGTATATACAACCAGTAATTGTCTTTCTTTGCGGCAAGAGAATAACAGATGCAAAGCAGTAGTTTCCCGTGAATGAGGAAACATCCAAGTAATAGGAAATGTGCTTTATGTAGGATTTATGATAAAGAAGACAATCGCCCCCACGCCGAGACCTGCGATCTTGACGGTAAAAATCGAAGTCATCTATGAGAAGGACAGAGTCCGGAAGTAGAGAATGGGCCCAAGATTCTGTTACACATATAATATCAAGCGTCATTTCGAGAGCAATGGCTTTGAATTGGGCCATCTTGCTTCTAACAGACCTGGCATTAAGTAATATAATATGTAATGTGTTTCGAACAGCAATGCTATTGTCGACGGTATTTAAAAAAATTTAGAGGCAAGAGCTTCTCACACTGCTGAGACGTAAGCGTTGCCAACTTTCCTTCAGGAAGGACACCAAGAACAGAAAAAATTGGTCCGTAACGAGACATAAAGTTGTTAAGATTATCGAGCGCCCATAGGTCT